TTGAATTGAATGATGGAGAGGTTGGTTATCGAGTTAAATATAGGGAATCATTTTGAAACCCTGGAACAGTTCCTGTGTTACATCATCATTACATATTATAAAATAGCTCTAGTATTTTAAGCATCGTGATTGGTCAAAACGCGTCACATGACATGCACCTATTTTTAATTCATGCACGATCGTGCCAAAAAAGCGCTGTCAAAAGTGATATTGCACGCTTATTACAAGCGCAGCGTGCGCGTTTAGCAAGTAGCAAGGTCTTATCTTTTCTAGAACCAACATAACTCTCCTAGACTCTAACGTTAGATCTAGACTTTCGTTTGTTTTGATTTTCATTTGTCGCTATTTTATAAAACAAATAACGCACTTGACCGTGTTGTGCGTAATGCTACGGTCACAAAGGTTCTCACGAACGATGATTTCGTACGAAACTCCCTGTTTTTCCATTGTCTTCCCGAATTTCCATTGTCTGTAAATCGTTCGTACGGCGTTCGTAGCAGTTCGTTATGACATTTGTGACCGAGGTTTAATGTAAATGCACTGCATTCACCACTAATGAATGCTTGGCTGTGCGTTATTTGTATACAGTAAACATACTGGGCTATTTTCCCTGCTGGCTAAAGGATTGACTTGGAACAAATGAAAGAAATGGAGGCTATGACATAGAAGTATTTTGGTAATTGATATAAATATGCAGTGTTTCAATTAGAATAGGGCTATTAAACAAAGATTCAAGCTTCTCGTTGTTCCCTTCTGTGCTTCTTGATGTATATGTATATATATAATATAGATATATATATATATAGAAATATGAAGGAAAAAAAAAATTCTCATAATCATACCAATGTATTCACCAACAATTAAAATTATGATCTTATTCTCAGGTGAAGAAGCAATCCAAGTTCACAGCATCTGTCCAATACACATACACAAGGACATATTGAAGTCCAGAACTGTGGTTCTAACAATAACATCTGCAAAATCAGACAACTTTTTGATGGAACAAATTTACATTTACTTGATCGAATCCTTCATTTGCTGCTTTGAGACAATTTTGCAGTAGCTATCACACAGAGCCTAATTAAAGGTTGAGACTAAATATCAGGTATTTCAGACCATGCCCATCTAAACAGTCAACTAGTACAATGCTAGATGTATTGCTCTGCAGACTGCAGTACACCAAAAGATTTTGTATATTTGAACTTAACCCTTTGCTTACGGGTACCGGGTGGTCTATGTGTTAAGCCTATGGGAATTAGAGAATTCAGTAGCCAACGGGTTAATAACCATGACATCACAATGGCTTAACTTGTATGATGGCCAGAAGGGGGCGCTATACAACATTTGAATTCAAGCATCTTTAATTTCTAAACTTAGCCTACACCCAAAATCTTATTTAAACACACACAAAAACGTATAAATAAAACTTCTTTGGCACCGATTGCAACTCTACTTTATGAACTGGCTAATTATTGTCAGAACGAAAATTTCAAAAAAGAAGTAGTGTGTGTCTCGTTTACTTATATGAACGAATGACATGAATACTTCAAGCCCCAAAGTCCCTCATGTTAGTTGATTAGGTACTCCCTCCTGCGAGAGTGGCCTCACCCAATTAACAAGTAAATCTAACTACACCAGTTGGGATACTAGAAGTGGCTCCTCATTTTGTTTTACCAAGCATCATAGTCATCACCATTCTTTATTCTGTCTTCCTTTCAAGGTAAGAAAGAAACTTGTATTATTCAATATTATTGTGGTATATTCCTGTTCATCATAAAATGTGTATTTGAACAACTTACTGTTAGCTTCATTATTCCCATATCTTGTAGAAATGTGTAAAAAAAGATAAAATAATGGTGTTTGTATTTTGTATTAATTAACATTTATTTCCTTCTCAACAGTACAATCTGAAACACAATATATATATATATATATATATATATAAATAAATTATATATGTAACAATGATTTGAACATAGAGTATACAGTAAATAATTCAGATAACAGAAGGAGGCGAAAACTCGAAAAGCATAGTTTGAGTTGGGAACGCCCATAATAAGTTAACACAGTTACTGAGAGAACATTATAGATATTATTATGACAATTAAATATTGTATAACAGAATGTTGATAGGAAAGAAAAAATAGTAAATGGAAGAAAAACTGAGAAGAGAATTAAGTGAATGGTATGTTGGATTATATGATATTTTGGCTATGAGTTGAAATATAAGAATTGGGAAGAGATAATTTCACTGATGACAACATTGTTAACACTTGTAGTAATGATAACAAAAACTATTATCGAGTTTGTGAAATTGATGTTCATGTTGTTTAACTTAGACAACATTTAAGTAAATTTTGAATATAGAATACTTTATTGCTGTCTTTGTAGTTAAATTTTACTACATGCATGATATATATACAGTATATATATATATATATATATATATATATATATTCTTAGGAATCTTAGCCAAGGACATGTGCCATTAACTATGCACAGGTATAATGAATTACATGCCAAAATACATTGCTTTGGCATGTAATTCATTATACCTGTACACAATGAATGGCACATGTTCTTGGCTATTAAAGATTCCTAAGAATACATACTAGAATATGTAACAATTTGTTACATATTCTAGTTTCAGTCAGTCACAGTCTGCATAGCTGCAATGTATCTGTTCGGTAGTTCCATGCATATAGGAAAAAAGGAAAACTTGATTTTCAGTAACAAAAATGCCAAAATTCTCCCTGCATTGAGAGGGGAACACCCCCTCCTAGACCCTCTCTTGCCCGCGCCCTCGAAAAGGCCCATCTCATAATAATTTCAGCACACCTCATTTGCCATTCCTTCTGTCATTAACCCTCTCTCTCTCTCTCTCTCTCTCTCTCTCTCTTTCCCCTCTTCCTTTTCCTTCGTCCCGTCTTGATATATTCCCTGTCCCTCCACCTCTTCTCTTTTGCATTTAATTGCATGCCCTCCCATTTCTCATTCACATATATCTCCATCCTTTTTCCTTCTTTCTCTCCTTCTCTCTGACAAGTTTATCAACAGCGTATAGTGCACTGAGTTTTACGACAAATAATTGCTCCAAGATAAGTGAGCATGCATATTTCACAATTTCACAACTCTTGACCAACAATACATGTACATTTGGAGTAAATCGCATTTGAACAAGGGTCACTATACGAATTCCGCCCAATTATAACACGTATCGGCTATGACGTCATTTTTCAGACCACTCAGTCTTGCCCCTTTTCCGACCTTTTTTTTCCTTGAAATTTTGCAAGTGCAGTCTGCATGGTTGGCCACACGCAGGGCCTCTCGAAGCCGGATTTTTTAAATCTGCCAAGGGGGGGGGGGGGAGGGGGAGGGGGGGGGGTTAGACGCCATTTAACTCCCGAGATGGTTATTATTAGTATGGACGGTCACGACACGCTTCATGTCGTGTTCTTCATTCACCAACATCCCATTCGTTATGCACGCAGGGCTTGTAAGCCCTATCTGTGTCCCTGCCATTATCCCGATTCCATGCACAAATTCTTATTTCAGGACTCTTGATAAATTCATTTAACAGTTGATTCCGCTCGGTTGACTCTATTGTCGGATTACTTATCTATCTATCTATCTATCTATCTATCAGGCTATAGTTCATCCAGACGTTGGACAAAGCCCTCCTAATGCAATTTCAATTCTCTTCTGTCTCTAGCTGTCCTAGTCCAAGCGACCTAGAGATAAAGAATCGAATATTCTCATGACTAGCAACTATGTATTATTATCATTCTTTCTTTTTTTCATCGTCTCTGCAATGCTATTGGAAAAATAGTTGATGACAAAAGATGGCACTCTGGTACAGTATGTAGCATCACACTCGCATGTATGCATGCAATCACGTGGCAGATAATTATTGATCATCAGTACCGGGTATAATAATCAACAGAAACTGAATTTGAACCTGGGCCATTATTCTCTCTTGTCATTGCCTTCCTTCCCTCTCGCTTACGTCCTTCTTACCACTGAGTATGTAACGTGTATGCTTCAATCATTGAGAATATAATCACTAATATCGCTGAAATTATTCTAGTTTTTCCCTTTCTTCTTCATCTTCTTCTTCCTAGTAGAAGTGGTAGTAGTAGTAGTAGAAATTTTGGAATTTTAGAGAATATTACGATTTTTAAACAACATAAAACAAATAGTAAGCATATAATAACTTCAGATGTCCGTTTGATTATGATTAAATTTTGAGTCATTTCAAGTAACAAAATATTATATTGCTATAGATCTCCTTAGAACTATAAGCTAAGAAAGATAACCAACAGTCTTTTCAAGACTATACCAAACAGTCCTTTTCAGGACTACAAACCCTCAAGAAAGATTACCGAGAGTCCTTTTCAGGACTCCTCAATCCTCCCTCTCTCTCACATGGTGCACCCGCAAGCCTATTCTATAACAAAATATTGTTTAGTATTTTTGCATTACCTCCAAATCGTGCTCCTGGGTTCACGTAAAAGCACGGGCGTCAATGCATACATATCGTTCTGATACAGTTCTAGTTCTTTCTCATTTCTTTCCCTTTCTCTATTGTTCTCTCTCTCTCTCTCTCTCTCTCTCTTTCTGTTCTGTCACTGTTTCAATGAATAATCCTATTAATCCAACCATATTATGCATACTAACAATTAAAAGACATGAAGGGGATATTGTATGTAAAATAACAAAAATTATGTAAAATTTATTTAATTTTCTTTTTAAAAAAATATAATAATTCATCATGAATACGTATCATAAAATTGAAGGTCAAATATTAGGCTCAAATAGCCTCATAATCTTCCATTTGAAATTATTAGAATTTCAATTTGTAAGCATTTTGTTACATTTCTTTTTCCAATATTTTTAAAACAAAGCATAGGCTACTTCTGAGCACTATGTTTTTCTCTCCAGGGCATCTGTGATAATATCATGACTTGCACCATATCATAAAACACATTATAAAACATGATTTCTTAAAAACAAAAACCCATGAATCAAAATCACAACTTTTTGCAGTAAAACAATGACTATCGGATGTACAAAAGAACATCCTTGTGAGCGATGGATGCTTTGTGGTTCACACACACACCAAGGACATATCGGGCTTTTTATTAACAGTTGCGCCTTGTTTTGTTACCATAACTTCATGTTATGAGGATTATAAAAATCAAGGTTTTGACCCCCCAGTCACAGCTACAGCAGATGGGGTCTGGATCATTGAAGAAGCTAAGTAGAATTCTGATTGAGGCCTCATGGTACATTCCTGAATCTGATTTTTTTTTTTTAAGTCATGTTCCGACACAATGATGGCACAAACGATCTAACAGACTGCATATAGTGAGGACGAATTCATAAAATGATCACATGATTGAATTGAACATGTTGTTTTTCGTTTTTCTTTTCCGTTAAAAGTTTTCATCTTGACTCAACGAGGTTACAACGTACCATAATGTTTGGACGACCTTGCAAGCTCTTGATTTTCGCCATAACCATCGTGCTCACCCAAAGTCGACTGGCACACTCTCTAAATGGAGGATGTTACCGCAAACCAAACATCATACCATGCGAACCTATCGTCTTAGGCGAAGCACAGTCTACCGAGATTGCAGCAGCCAAGGATAGTGGTTTCATCGGTGCTCTCCAAGCCAACAGGACACAAACGTACCAAAACCAACAACCGATTATAACTAATTTCACCGAAGACCAGATGGCGCGAGTGTTGGAGGTGTACAAAGATTTCGGGGGGAATCAGAGCGACTACGAAGGGGTCTATGACAATCTTCTGTGGGAACCCATGGAACTCCATGAGGAACCTGAAAGCGCCACCCTGCCTGAACCTTCCAACGCAACACGTGAACCTGAACCTTCCAACGCAACACCTGAACCTGAATCTCACAGCGCACGTGTACGACGATCAGCTGTATTAAACGTGCCCATCTGCCCTGTCCGAAACATCAAGAAGATTCTAATTACAGCATTTAACGCGGATGGTAAACCATTACAGATTGTTCAGGTAAATTAAAAAATAATTCTCCTTCTTATTCTTCCATCCTCTCATCAGGGGCGTCGCCAAAGGGGCCGGGGGTGTGGGGGTGCGACACCCCTCCACCTGTCAGGATATTGTCGGTAAAATTGCGCTGCCGTCGGGGAAAAAAGAGAAACAGGGGGAGGGAAAAAAGAGAAAAGGGGGAGGAAAAAAAGAGAGGGAAAGAAAAAAAAAAGGGAAAAGAGAAGAAAGAAAGAGAAGAAAGGAAAGAAAGGAAAGAAAGGAAAGAAAGGAAAAGAAAGGAAAGAAAAGAGAAGAAAGAAAGAGAAAAAAATGAAAAAGAGGGAGGAGAGGAAAGAAAGGAAAAGAAAGAAAAGTGGAGAAAAAAAAAGTAAAAGGGAAACAAAAGAAACGGGGGTGAAAGAGAGGGGAGAGGTAAGAGCCTGAGAGAGGAGGAGTGGGAGTAAAAGAGAGGGGGGTTGTTGGGTGGAGTTGTCTTGTCGAGGGAGCAAGAAAGACACGGGTAAATATGTTGCTATGTCGGGTCAGCTGTGTCGGTATTCTTGCTCGATCCTCGTGTACTATATCAATGCAGAAGTTTGAAGTCGGTGAGATGTATATTGTCGGTCGGCCGACAAGTTTTTTTCCCTACGAACTGTGACTTCTTATCCGCTGTGACGACTTCGAGAGTGACTACAACTACTCGGAGTTTCACTTTCCTATAATATCAGCTAAAGCAATCAGAGGTTTAAAATTTTAGGGGAAACTAAATTCAAACAAGGTTTAAGAGTCAACAAAGGTACGACGAATCGTCTTTCTTTCTCTATATTGTGATGAAACGCGCCCCCCAAAAAATCCGCGCTTTGCGCGGAAGGGGAAAACTTCATTTAGACGAGTCGAGAACGGTACAACGAATCGTCTTCTTTCTCTAATAATTTAATGGGTCAAAATTTCCGCGCTTTGCGCGGAGGGGGACAACTGAATTCAGATAAGGATTAAGAGTCGAAAACAGTACACCAAATAGGGCTTATTAAGAGTCGAAAACGGTACAAACGAATCGTCTTCTTTCTCTAATAATTTAATGGAACGTCAAAGCTTCCGCGCTTCGCGCGAGAGGGGGAAACTAAATTCAGATGAATAGGGAGTAATAAGAGTCGAAAACGGTTCGACGAATCGTCTTCCTTTCTCTATATTGTGATGAAACGCCAAAAATTCCGCGCTTCGCGCGAAGGGAAAAAACTTCATTTAGACGAGTCGAGAACGGTACAACGAATCGTATTCTTTCTCTAATAATTTAATGAAACGTCAAAATTTCCGCGCTTCGCGCGGAGGGGAAAGCTTAACTCAGATAAGGATTAACAGTAGAGAACGGTACAGCAAATCGTCTTCGTCTCATAATAATTTAATGAAACGTCAAAGCTTTCGCGCTTCGCGCGGGAGGGGGGGGGGGGGACTTCAATTAGACAAGGATTAACAGTCGGGAAAGGTACATTAAATCGTCTTCTTTTCCTAATCATTTAGAGGCCTATCACCCACACCCCCTAATGAGCGCTCTTAGAGTGATTCGGTTGCTCACTACCGCCCTCCCTAAAATAAGATCCTAGCTCCGCGCCTGCATTAAAATATATCAGCTATGATGCTGACTAAATTGACGAAATAATTCGTATATTTATGTCGTCGAGGAAAATGACCATTTGCGCATATGCAAGTACTATAGATAGTCCATAGGAAAAACAATTTAGCCTTCGGCCCCGGGTTTATAGAGTTAAATTTGTAGATATAGGACATTTAATTTGTCGGTAAGTGGTCGCTAGTTTTGTCGGTAATCGTTGGCCTCTACACCCCCCCCCCCACTGAAAAAGGTCCAGCGACGCCCCTGCCTCTCATGCCATCGCCATCTCCACCCATCATCATTTGTCCCACGATGGATACTTCCTTAGGGGTGTGCGACATTCCTTATTCTTACCCCCACAACAAAAAAAACAACAACAACAACAACAAACAAACAAAAAAAAAAAAAAAAAAAAAAAACAATTTCTTTCTTTTTTTTAATTTAAAAAAAAAAAAATCGAATTTCGGTCAACTTAATTGTATTCCTTATACATTTTTTCGGGGATGCAGGTTTTCTTGGAAATGTTGGACTTTTCGTTGTTGATCTTTTGCCGGTGTTGTACTTAACGACTGCTTTTACATATTTGGGAAAGTTGGAAGTTAATAGTGTCCTAGCATCCTTTAATTAATAGTAATGTGTTTACTTTTTTCCTTCACAGTTCCCTGGATTCAAGCAATGGGTCCTTCGTCAAGAGTGCACGGAGTCGTTGTCATCTCAAGGTAAACTGTCTATGAATGGAGCCCCGGGCCTGGATATCTTATGCCATACCATCCGGAGATCCGTCTTCCTTGTCGCTATCCGTCTGGACGACGGCGCTGTGAACCAAGGGGATATTGCTGTACAAGAAGTACAAGTGGAGTCCTGTTCTAGTTTTGTTGAGGAATAGGCCCAGAGTATACAGGCTAGATGTAAAATGATATTGTTGTTCTTCTTCTTCTTAATAATTAGTATCCCCATCAATATTAGTATTAATGCTATTATAATTGATATCATGATAACTTAATCATAATTTCTCTGAAGTTTGATAGACTACCATTATCGCAACAAGTATGATAATGACTTAACCCTAATAAGGCCGGGGGCCATTATGCCCCCCCCCCTCCACGATTTTTCTGATTGTTCGGGAACGCATATGGATGGCGCCCCGCCACTCGCTGAATTTTTTCTTTAGAGTCTTGCGCATCTTTAAAAAAAAATTAATCGGACCTACAGTTATAAGGTCACGTGCCCTTTTGTCTTTGCAGCCCGAAAATCGCTCATTTTTGTGATTTGTGTACAAAACCTATGGAAATGTCATTTTTCCTTAAAATAGATTAAACGATGGTTATTGGGTCTTGTTTAAAGTTTAGGTGGTTGTTTTGGGAGTCAAAATAGTTGAATTGTAGTAAGAAAGGAAATAAAACAACAAAAACAATAAAATACACAAGTTAAAAAACAATGAAATACATAAGAAATTATCAAAACAAGAATTAACATAAGGAATAAGCTGGCTCTTCCAAATTTTGTTGTCGTATTATTATTTCAAATGGTCAAATGAATATATGTAGTGAAAAAGAATGCTTAAATATGAATAATATTTTATTCATGGGTAAAAATGTGATTTTATGACCGCATTTGCATAAATTACCATAAATATGCAAATGAGTGATTTTTAAAAAAAATTGAATTTTCCATATTATTCTTTACACTTCACTTGACATGCGTGCAAATTTTCGCGGAGATCGGCCTTTTCACGGCCGAGATCTTAAGGGGGCCATAATGCTCCCCCCCCCCCCCCTCCCCGGTCGTACTAAGACCTCAAATAGCCCGGCCTTATTAGGGTTAAGACGAAAATCCAATTGAAACCAATTTTTAATTGGTTTCAATTGGTCTCAATATGTTTTAACAGGTTTCAATGGGACTTTAATAGGACTTCAGATGGTTTCAATTGGTCCAGATTGTCCCTATTGGATCAAATTGGACCCATTGGCTCCATTGACCTAGGCCCGTTTAGACTTTAATGTGACCCCAATTGGTTTCAATTGGACCAATTGGCCTGAAGTTGGACTTTAATTGGTCCAATTGAAACCAATTGAAACCAATAGGACCAATTTTAAATAGAAACCAATTGGACAAATAGAAACCAATAGGACAATATAAGACCAATAGAAACCAATAGGACCAATAGAAACCAACAGATCTATGCATATCATGCATATTCATTATGACTTTACACGTGTGACAGAAAAATGCATTTATCATGATTTGTTAAGCAAATTAAGACAATGCACATCATTTTTGTGATTTCTTCCTTTGGCAATTATTAACCAATAGATAATTTTGCCTGATCATAATACAATTCCATTCACGTTTTAGCAAGATATATATTGATTATATGATTACTAACCAAGAAACAATATACATATTTAGTATATATATATATGTGTACGAGCCTGTATCACTTTAAATGTTTCTCTTGAATACACTTCAATTGATCTATGTGATGGAGTTAATACCGTTGAGAATAGAATATACCTAATTGGTGGACAGTTGCCAGTATCGATTATGAAGTATCAGTTTGTCACTGGTTCTTCTATCTGGATCGATTTACCAATTGAATCCCCATTGAATGTCCCTAATGAATCCCAATTCAATACCAATTGGCAATTTGGAGTACACGAAAAGTAAAACAATGGGTTCCTATTGGAACCAATTGGCAAATGGTCCCCATTGGAACCAATTAGCAATTAGTCCCCATTAAAACTAATTGCCATTTGGTTTCAATGGGGACCAATTGCCAATTGGTTTCAATAGGTACCCATTGTTTCACTTTCCATGTACTCCAAATTGCCAATTGGTATTCAATTAGGATTTAATAGGGGCATTCAATGGGGATTCAATTGGATTTTCGTCTTGGGTTTGCTATTGACAACGGAACAATCCTGACTAATGACTATCGTGAAACATTGGATGAATCTCATCTAAAGCGCATTTCCTCTTGCGATTGCAAACCAAATCTAAACAATTTACAGAATCACGTGTCTCCTACAGCATCCGATCTGACTATTAATACCTTATTATATTTTGATAATTATTCTACTACTAACAGTTATCATCCTGATTATTATAAATTCTTGCAGGTATTCTTCAGAAACATGTTGGTCGTAAGATGGCACATTGAAATGTCCGCAGTATACTTAGTCAAAATGAAGCAATAACCTTTCTCCTAAACAAATCCGAACTTGACATAAATAGTATCTGAAACGTGGTTAACAGTTTGGTAATAGACAATAATGCTTTTAAAATCGATAAACATGACTTAGTAAGAAAAGATATATGTGATTAACGTGGTGGTAGTGGTGTTTGCATCTATATTCGTAATACTCTTTTCTTATTGTAAAAGGAATGATCTTGGTCATGATTCCTTAGAAGCAGTATGGATTAAACTAAACTTAAACACAAAAGTTTGTCAGTTTACTGTGTATACAGACCTGCAAATGCAGAACCAGTTTGGTTTGATCATTATTTTGTTCGATGTATTACAATTAGTGTCAATTTAGAACAAAAAACAGTCATTCTTGGTGATGTCAATATTGATTATTTTTATTCTGATATTACTGGTAGAAAGTTTATTGATTACCTTGAGAACTCGTATATAACACAGTTAATAACGTCACTCACACGGATTACGATAACATCATCTAAATGCATTGATTAAATCTTTACAGCGAGTCCAGATATACACTTAGTAACATGTGTCGCTCGAATATCTCTCAGCAGGCTCGTACGCAGGGGGGAGGGGGTTGAGGTTAACCCCCCCCCCTTGATTTTTGTTATGTGTATGTTTTTTGGAACCCCCCCCCCCCCCTTTTGATTTTTTTTTTTTTTTTTTTTTATTAAAAAGAAAAAAGAAAAAATTATGCCAATGGCTGACCTAAAAAAGGTATCCTTACCCCCCTTCAACGGAACAAAATGTCAAATTTTCAAATTTCGAGGCCAAAAAAAATAAAAATCCTCTTACCCCCCCCCCCCCCCCCCCCGCTTATTTAGCGGCTGGCTGAGTCGTTGCGAAATTTTTGGCCCGATTTTAAACCCCCCCCCCCCTTGAAAAAATCCTGCGTACGCCACTGTCTCTCAGTTATCATTTTAAACTTCATATCTGTCTAAACCCGAGGAAACAGTCGACTAAGCATAAAACTCCAGACATTGGTTTAAGATATTTTCAATATATAGTAAATAGGATTCTGTATTTTAACAAGCAACTGTATGAGATGAAAATAGCGAGTAATGTAAGATGTTCGTTACATTTAGTATTTAAACGTACGTGTAAAACATTGAGGATCATGTGGATTGCCTATCACGGCCATATATAGAAAACAACAAGTACAGGGGCAATGCGGTAGTTTGCCCTTATTGACAGGTTTCCTACAAAGAAAAAGAAATTCACCCACGTTTTCATATACTGTTATTTACTAGGTTAGGTACATAAGCCAATTATTTTCAGCTTTCTCTTAATCGGAAACGCCCGAAATATTACATACTCTGAAAAGAGACTTACTATTGCATCAGCAAAGCAAGTGTAATTGCTGAGCTGTTTGAATCTCCTCTCGAGGCCCAGGCCAAGGTCTGGATAAATTTATTTTCAAACTTATTTCCACTCAAACCGTAAAACATAAAATATAACTAGGTAAACGTATAGATCAATACTTTCAAGCTAAAAATTGATTTTAAAAAGGGGTTGATGAAAAGAGTCACATGTATATAGTAAACAGTTGACAACACAAAATATAACATATGGACAAGAGCGGGGTGAAATTAATGATGGTAGGAATCTTATGGATCGCAGGAATTTACTCCTTCAAATGCTAGAGGGCTGTAATGGCAGCCGTGCTACTGCCATGATAATAATCGGGAGCGCCAAGTCTGACAGACATTAGCGCTATACAAGAACCCACTATTGTTATTATTATTATTATTATTATTCGTGCTTTCAACCTTAGTTTGTAAATTAAAAGAACCCACCCCAATAAACCTTCAAACACCATGGTCATAAAGAGAGAGAGAGAGAGAGAGAGAGAGAGAGAGAGAGAGAGAGAGAAGACAGAGGGGAATAGAGAGGGATAAGAGAAAAGCAGAAAGATAGAGAGATAGAGAGAGAGGGAAAGAGAGAGACAAAAGAACAAGGACAGACCAAAAAAAATGACGACAATAACTACATGCGTTTCAATTGGATGTTGCTGAATTTATAGTTATAACGATTTTGTGAATGGGACATTATGACCATCAAGGATTACCAGCTAGAACAAAATCACACGTTCTATTATAGAGCGAACGACTGTGGCCAACTACTGCCAGGGCGTGGCATTATTCTTGGAGTTCTTGGCAGGTATATATGCAGGGGCGGCTGAGCGACTTCTAAAGTGGGGGGGGGGGCACCAAGAAAAAAGAGCATCTACAAAGGGAAATCTCAAGGCGAAAATATACACTTTTTTAGACATTGGTATATACCCCTACATTGTGATTACATTATCAGGGATGATTTCAATATTTGCTTCACTTTATACACCATACAAGATATTGCTTAAGCATCATGATTTGCAGTTGGGTGAGATGGTCTGAAAATCTATTTGCGAGCGAGCGAAGCGAGCCAGGAAACTTTTAAGATTTGTGAGGTCGCAGTGCGAAAAATTACATCTTCTAATGAGGAAAAACCCCAATCCTGATGGGGTTATAACCACACTCTCATAACGGAAGACTGAAAAGACCTTTGATAAGTAACATAAATATTTCATCTATAGATGCGTGCGAGCGTAGCCAGCGAGCTTTGGGGGAAATTGCTCTTAGGCGCATGAAATTAGGGGCGCGTTGAATGATGAGAGGAAAAGGGGACATTTATCAGAAAAGAAAAGGAGCATGTATCAAAGTACAAAGAGTAATTATCAGAGGTGAAAATGGGGCACTTCTTACACCCTCAAACAGAGGCACTTACAAGGGATGAAAAAAGTCAGTCATGAGAATAGGTAATGGCCATCTGTCGACGGAAAAGGGGCTCCTATCGGAATTTGAAAAGGGGATAGGTCCCTTTTTTAGAAAC